CACTCTTATTGTAACATGTTTAATATTAAAGCAAACAAATAGTTACCGATGTTTAGTTTATTGCCCTTTGATCGGCCCTTTGTTTTTCATCCAAAATAGCTTATTTATTTTCATTCTTTTTAGTCAACAACTGTATCTCGTGATAATATTGTATAATGTCATTTTTTTTTTTCGATTACCCATAGCTGATTGGGTCCATTTTAAACACAAAAAATAATATTCGATGTTTATATTGTCGCCCTTTGATTTCAACCCTTCGTTTTTCATTAGAAAAAGCTCGTTTGTGTTCATTCTTTTTAGTCAACAACAGTATCTCGTGATAATATTGTACAATGTCATTTTTTTTTTCCGATTACCCATAATCGATCGATTCCATTTTAAACACAAAATGATAATATTCAAAGTTTATTTCGTCGTGCTTCGTCTTCTGTCCTTCATTTGACTTCAAAAACAGCTCGTTTTTCTAGATTATATTTTGGCAACAACCCTTTTTGTGTTACTATCGTATAATAAAATTGAATGTTTTTTCAGCACCCGTATGTAATCGGTTCAATATTAAAGCCAACAAATAGTTTCTGATGTTTATTTGTCGCCCTTTGATATCGGCCCTTCTTTCTTCATCCGAAATAGCTCTTTTACGTTCATTAGTTTTAGACAACACTCGAATCGCGTGATAATATTGTACAATGTCATTATTTTTTTTCCATTTATCCATAGTCGATCGGTACTATTTTAAACACAACCAAAAAAATATTCGTAGTTTATTTCGTCGCACTTAATTTGTCTTCGGCCCATGGTTTGTCTTAAAAAATAGCTCGTTTTCCATGAGTTTTTTTTTTCTTCGACAACCTTTTCCCATGCTACTATCCTGCAATGGCATTTTTTTTTTGGGCACCCTAATGTAACTGGTTTAACATTAAAGTCCACAAATAGTTTTCGATGTTTATTTTGTCGCCCTTTGATTTCGGCCCTTCATGTTTCATCAGAAATAGCTTATTTACATTCATTATTTTTAGTCAACAACTATATCTCGTGACAATATGATATAATGTCGTTAACATTTTTTTTCAATTACCCATAGTTGATCCGTTCCATTTTATATACAAACAATAATTTTTTAAGTTTATTTCGTCGCGTTTTGTCTTTGGCCCTTTGTTTGTCTTCGAAAATAGCTATTTTCGTTCATTAATTTTTGTTATCAACCATATTTCTTGCTACTATTGCGTAATTGTATTAAATATTATTTTTTCGGCACCCGTAATATTAACGATACAAATATAAACCCAAAAGATATTTTTCGATGTTTATTTTGTCGCCCTTTGATTATTGCCCTTCATTTCCATCCGAAATAGCACGTTTAAATTCATTCTTTCTGTCATCAATCATATCTGGTATTAGTGTCATACAATGAAAACAAAATATTTTTTTCGACAACCAAAATTCAACATGTTTTTTTTATATATATATATATATACACACACACACACACACACATATCTCTCTTATATATATATATGAACGAGTTTGGGCTGTTGTGGTGGCAACAAGTGTCTATTTTCGACACTTCCGCTGCTCGACACATGTCCCTTTTAGTTTACCTCATTTCCACTTCTTTGAGTGACAAAAATACCCCAATTTAACCCTACTTTTGAAGGTTAATATGGTTATTTGTGAATTGTTTCTTTCTTGGTGCAAAAGGCTGCCGGGCAACCGCTGTCAACATTGTCACTTCCCTCATTTCACGCTTCCCTCATTTCACGCATAAATGAAGAGAAGAACGTGCTCTTCCCTCATTTCCCGTAAAATTTTATTGATAAATAACCTACCCACGTCTTTCATCCAGTAAAATTTGAGAAATTTTCCTCTCAATATCTTCTTCTCATTATCCCCTTTCTCAGAGAGATCGAGAGGGCAAAGGGAAATCATAGAGGCAATTTTTTTTCCACCACTCTTCATGGCCAAGCTTCAGGGAAAGGGAGTCGGCGACGCAGGCGGATCGAACGGCGAATTCGGCGTGCGGAAGCGACAAAGCAAGCAGCGTTAGGGTCACGGAGGCAGATTCGGCTAATTTCGACGGAGAGGTCTACTGTGGCCCGACAAGGGATCAGTGAGCGACCCTGCAGCTGCCTTCCAAAGAAGTACTCTGGCCCACAAAGTCTACTTTCAGACGATTAGGGTTTCTAGGTGATTCACGACCTTCCGCTACCGGAGGCGACGACCGGAGGCGATGAAGAAGGTGCTCCACTCCACAAGCATCGAGAGCATCGAGAAGGTTCGCACCTGAGGCGATGATAGATGGACGTAACGCCAAAATGTCGAGGGAGACTATGGAGAGGGACGCTGTTAGTCGCCCGAGCATGATCACGATCCTTTCTTCTCTAAAAAAAAGTCTCTGTTTTTCTTTTTTTTTTTTTTTATTTTCAATTGGTGTAATTAGTGATGCTACTTGAACTTGATGTAATTGTTCATGTCAACTGGAATTAGGATCTTAGAGGAATAATTATTTGTGTGGGTTAAAAGAAAGGGGATTTTAGATTGTGTGTTTTTTTATATGAAGAACTCCTCTGGAAGGATAAAGGGTCTAGGTTGTGATTGCGATTTGGGATCGGAGTTACATTAGGTTTTGGATTTTAATCTCTAACAATTAATGTGTTGAAATGAGCCGAAGAAGGATGGGCCTTTGTACAGGATTCTTGATTGGCTTCTATTTAGGGTGATGAAGGTGTAGCATGTAATAAGCAAATCATTATTCCTTAGTTCAATCACTTTTTTTTTTCATATTCTTCAATCGATTTTTAAATCCAACCCTATGCCTATGTTTCTTGTTCCTGACCACGGTGCCGCGAAGCTCGACGAGTTCTTCGCCTTCACTGTCGTCACGTACCCGACGCTGGTTGTTTTGGCAATGTGTAGTCGACATACCCGATTTTAACTATTTTTCTTTTTTAGCTGTTGTTGTTTGTAGGGTATGTACCCCAGTGCATCAAATTCAAGAGGCTTGAAAACTCAGCAAGGCATATCTTCCAGGCACAATTTTCTTTTTCAGAACATAAAGGTTAGGTTAACTTATTTTCTATGAATCATTTCTGATTTTATGTTCTTATCAATATTTAATTATATCCTCAACATGTATTTGACTTTTTTGTGTCCCGGATGTTCTGAAATAAGGCAATTTAATTTTTCCCCATATATATGTCCTTTTCGGTACTTGAGAGCAGATTCTTGAAGATATGGCAGAGGATGTGACAGTGGTGCAAGACGAAAGATCCAATGATGGGGCAGGTTTATGGTTTATCATTTGTTGCTGTTGTGTTTTTTGTTCATTTGTGTAGTAGAGCAATGTCGAAGGAGTTGTAGAATTATGATGGAATTTATGTATTTTGTGTTGTTGCAGTTGAAAAGGAAGCACTTGAAGGTAGCTTTTGGAGAAGTATTAGAAGCCTGAGATTAAGAACAAGTTTCACATTGGTACAGGAAAAATGCGATGTGATTGAGAAAGAAAATGGAGTTCCCAGAAAAGGTATATATTGCATTATTCATAATTTTTTCCAAATTTCTTCATGTTATTACTCATTCTTATAGTCTATACAAATATTATTTTCCAATATTTTTTTTTTTTTATTTTTGTGTGTGTACAAGATATTGCACAGGCTCTTTCAACCCGTTTATATAATTTACAGACGTAAAGTAAAAATACACGGTGAACAAAATAATATTATGTCTTTTTTTTTTTTCGTTCAAACAGGTCCTTAGTTTTGCAAGGTCGTACTTCTGAGTATGCTATCAGTTGTTTCATGTAGTTACAGTAACTCATTACTTTACAGGTATATATCCTTTTTCTTCTTCATGTACATTTGAATTAGCGTGTTTTTTCTTTGCCTTTTTTTATTTGGTATATTGTTAGAATTTTAATGTAAGAGAGTCATTAGGGTTTATTTGTTCCCTTTAATTCTAATTTTTGTAGATTATAAAGTTTTAATAGACAATATTGGATTCAACCTTTTTTTTTTCAGTATTCTTAATGGCATTTTTAGAGTGTTCATCTGTGTATATCCAACTGAAGAAACCATGCAAACCATGGTTTATGGTCGCTGCAAAATGTAAGGGGTGTCAGTATTTTTCTTTTGTGTCCACTCTTTCTACATTATTAGGTACTGAGCTCTGGACAACTAAAATCTAATAGTGAAACTTAATGCCAATGAGATTAATTTAATCCTTCACCCGAGTCGTTGAAATTCCAAAAAACAATTAGGTTCCACAACTCGAGGGTTCTCAGAAACGTGACAGTGGTTCCATCAACCTCAAAAAGGTTTGGAAAAAATGATTGGATAATCGAGAACCCTACTTTCAAGTTTTGTCCAACCAAATCTACTGAGTTTTGGAATGTCTAAAATTTTTATTGTTTCTTTGTGAACCCTGACCACATATCTCTTCCAATGTACACAAATATAGAGATATATTAGTGAGCACGATATCTATAATGGTAGACTACCAAGAGATTTTTGACCTCATTATGATATTATGTTTATACTGTCCTTATATTTTTAATATATTGCTGTTATAATGATATATTCATTATTCTTTATGTTTTAAGTGCATTCTACTCATCACGTGTTTCGCAAATTTCATTTTTAAAGGGAAATGGCAAAGGAGATATGGCCCGGTTCGAATTTGTTTTCCTGAACATTGGAAAATTTGGTGTATCAAAAAATGGGACGTGATACAAAAAAAACAAAAAAAAAAAAAACCTCAAAACAGGTGCAAAGAAGGATCGTGGACTTTTTTCACTTAACAGAAGTTATCCCTGATCTTTTTCTTCTCTTACAAAAGTTGTCTTTTTCTTCTCTTACAAAAGTTGTCTGTTAAGCTAACTGTGTTTCTAATGTGCATTCTTGTTAGAAATTATTGTGATGGAGAAGATGTACAAGGACACACCCACATGTGTGTCCATGTATACACCCAAATCATGACTTCTTCAACGATAACCCACCCAGGATGACATGGCCGAGTCCATCGAGAAAAAGGGCAAGAATTGGCCTTTGAGTAATCATGAAGCTGTAAAAAAGTACAGAGAGAAGAAAAAAGCCCGAGCTGCTTCCCTAGAAGATGAGGTTGTGAGACTTCGGGCCAAGAACCAACACTTGATGAAGAGGCTGCAAGGACAAGCCCTATTGGAGGCTGAGATTGTTAGGCTTAAGTGCTTACTGGTGGATATCAGAGGTAGGATGGAAGGGAAAATTGGGTCTTTTTCTTACCAGAAGCTGAATAAAGCTAGGGATATTTATCGAGTATGGCTAATCCAAATGTTGTCAATACTTAAATGATGAACCCTTGTAATATGAGACGTAGTGAGCAGCTATATTAACTGTATTTCTGCAGTCGGAGAATGCGGTCGTCGGTCAGGGCCTCGGGGACTGTGGTTTTGATAATGGCAGTGTTTGGGGAATCATAATATTGATCAGAAGCAGTGGCGGAGGTTCCGGAGGGTCAGGTTGAAATCTGGCCCAGTCGTCGAGCTCTCCGGCAAGACGTGTCACCTGCGACGGCTCTACCACCTTCAGCTTCTTCCAATGCTTCCATTAGAAAGAAGCTTGTTAGTGTTTCAACGCCCTTAAAATCTCTTCCAAAAACATCAAATATTCTCTCATTTTTTCTTTGATTGACTTAATAATAGTAAATACTTATTCTGCCCAGTAACACAGCACTAAGAAAACCGTCGAAAGGTCTCATGATGTGGGCTGGGGGGATGTGGTCTGGGGGGTTATGATTTCATAGAACGACTATTGTAGGATTTCTGTGGCAGAAGCGAACACCACAGATGGAGCGCCTTTGATGGGGACCAGTTAATTCTGGAGAAGAAGATAGTTTTTCTGTGAGTCCTTTACTTTTGGTGTTTGCTTTATTATTTATTCATGTGATATTGAGTTATGTATTGTGCTATTTAAATTCTTCCATTGCAAATAGAGTGATATTGATTCTGATATGCATCTGCCACCCAAAGGGATATAGTGATATTAGTTAGCTTTTCTTATTTAACTATGAGGATGAAATGTCTCCAGAAAGCACTCTTCTTATAAACTTTCTCGTGGCTTTCTCCAAGGACAGAGAACCTTGTGATCTTTTTCATTTAATTTCTGATGTAGTTATATGAAAAGGGAAAAAAAAAGAGAAGCCAAAAGAAAAAAAGAAAAGAAAATATAGATTAAAACTTTGAGTCTGTTCCTTTTACTTTTTTATTTTCACGTCTAGGCATGATCATCCAGCAATGGACATGTCAAACACAAGGTAAGGGTACGATACTAATTTTTTAAATTATGGTGTTATTATAGCACTATTGATGAGGTGGTCACAGTGTAGACACATATTATTCTATTGGCATATGCTTTTTATGTGCTACTATGTTAGGCTTAAGAGAACGAGAGCCTTCACTAGAACAAGTTAAATGAGGCGTGTCATACTAACTTTTTTTTTGCTCTTCTCAATAGCAGTTGCCAAAAGTGATAAAAAGTGTAATTTGGTTGCAGTTTCAAATCCATGTCCTGATTATTAAGAAAAAAAATATAAGAAAATAAACAAAACAAAAGAAAAGGCTTTACAAATTACAATAGTTTACGACAAAGGCAATGTTATCTTGCATGTCAGTGGAATATTCTTAGAAGTATCTTACTTCATTATATAATCCATTCATTTCACATATATTCTCAATTTAAAGCCTCATTCTCTTAATACTTTCAGGTTCTTGGAGGGTATGGACTTTTCATGCATGCTAATATTACATATGTTCAGGAAACTGGCATGAAAGCTGTAAGTTTCAAAGGCCGTTAGATAAAATACTTTCCTCTCTTTTTTCTTTTTTTATCTTGGGAAGCAGCGATAATAACTTTTTCATAGGCCTATTGTCAAATTTATGCAAAAAAATGGATTTGTTTAAGATTGTGTTGGAGGAACCCACTTCTTGGTATTGCTTAACCCCACTTAATCATCTGCGATCTAGAGATGGTAAATGGAGAAAGAGCATCTATTACAAACCTTCATGAACAAGGTTTTGATTTGTGTTCACTGAATTACCATTTTAAATATTCTTCTCAAGATGTTATATCTATCTACCCATCTATTTTTACAGTTGGATTACAAAAGATACTATCACTGCTCGAATCAAAGGGTGTCAATGTAAGGATTCATGTTGTGGTGGCTAACTTAGCTGCAAAAGTTGTCCTACTTTTCTTACTTTTAAGGTTTAACACAAACTATGTACTCTCAAACCTGATATCCTTTCTGAGGTTTTTTGATTTGTTTTTAGTTATGTTGTCATATAAAAAGAGAGAAGTATGACTAACAGTTATATGTATAAAAATACAGAAAAAAATATTTTTTTTTCCCTGTCTTGGTTCTTCTAGAAGAAATATCAATAGAAAAAGGGTCATGTTTTGTTAGTTCTCAATGGTGTTTTCTATTGTTGTACATAACTTAGATGCTTGTTATGTATACTTTATGGAAGCAAACCAGGAAAAGATAGTTGAGGCTGGTGGTCTCTCTTCATTGCTGATGCTCCTTACAACTTATGAGGATGAAATGGTATGTAGAATTGCAACTGGTGCAATTGCTCATTTTGCGATGAATGGTACCTTCTAATAGTAGTTCATTTATTTTATTTTGTCTCACTCTTGCTATGATCTGCTTGTTATGTTGTTATATCTTTTTGCAGAGGCCAATCAAGAGATCATAATGGCCCAAGGTGGAATATGTCTTTTAGAAACAACGGCTACCGACGCTGAAGAGCCTCAGACTCAAAAAATGGTTGCTGAAGCACTTGCATAAAAATCCAGCAATTGCTAATTTATGCGACAATGGTATTTATTATTATTCTCCTTTTAATGTGTCATTTCAATTGGACTTTAAATTATATTTTAGTCTTTTAGAATTTAATAACCTCCTATCTCCATTACTTTCTTTTTAAATAAAATTCGAGTGTCTTTTCGAAATATTTGATTACAAGACCCATGGCTTTCCACATAAACTACAAACAAGGCTCTGGTCAGAAGGTGGCATCAAAGCTTTATTAGGAATGGTTAGATGTTGACATCCAGATGTTATTTCCCAAGCTGCCCGTGGTATTGCGAATTTCGCTAAATGTGAGTCTCGGGCATTCGGTTAAGATAATCTATTCATTTAAAAGCATGCTTTCTGAACAATCATTTACTTTCACGGTAACATTTCGTTTGTATTTTTAAGCATTTACTTCCATTCGTCCGTCTAATAAAGTAAAAATACACTTAAATGGCATGACTAAGAGAAGGTCGATCTCTGCTGATAGAAGTGGTGCTTTGCCATGGATAATACAGACTGATATAGCACAACATGGTAATATACTGATTCGACTAGGGATAATTTGCAAATTCAACCCTATATTTCATCTGAATTCGTATTTTAACTCAACTATAGACTAAAATTTAGCAGGCTGCACAGATGTGAGGCGACAAATGGTGATGCGAGGACCAGCAGTAAAAGCCCTTTATTGCCCCAAGTTGTATAAGGCAGCTGCTATTTAAATGAGAGAATCCATATTAACGTTGAACGAGAGGAAAGGGAGGCTGGGGTCACCTATGAAGATTGAGAATGAATTCAAGTCATAGATCATTGAAAGTATACTCGACTATTGCCTGTTTGAGAACCCCTAATACGGTTGAGACAGTTCATCTTTTCTCCTTGGAATTTATGCCCTGATTCTTATTTTCACATCATTGCATAATAAAAGAGTAGGTCATTAGTGGGGATGTTTTTCTTTTATCAAGTACGCTGTTAGACTAAATTTGAGTCCGCCGTGCGTGCACGGCGTGAGACTACTAGTATATATATATATATATAGGGTTGAGTTCAGATGAGAATGGTTCTCAATGAAAGAAATGAGAATAAATCGTAGCCATTAGATCGTCCGATCTAATGGCTAAAAAAAAGTCAAAAGTACACCTTCATTAAGGATAGGGTAAACTACTTTTTCCCATCCGAACTATCACGGTTTTGGCGCATCACCATATAAACTATTTTTTTTTTACAAACCACCATATG